TCCCTCGCCGGCCGGCCGGAGCGGGGGGTCCCGGCGGGGGGGTGTGCCCGGGGCACGGCGGCTGCTCGGCCGGGCTGGCCCCGGTGAGCGGCCGAAATGCGGGGAAAACGGGGCAAAAAGACCTCCCCACGCAGCCGGGGACGGGCATCTGCCCGGTTTATAATAGTCCTCGATTTTTCCTCCTGCTGGGGTCAGGATTAAAGCCTGGAGTTTACTCTGTAACCTCCCCGTGCCACGCAGCCTTAACTTTAGGGATACATTTCCAGCGCAGCGCAACTCGATATTTCTCAGAGCTGCGGTGACTTTATATATCTATATATATTTTTAATAAAGTCGATCACACTTTCTAAGCGTAGGAAAACGATATGCATATGTGTATAAAGGGCTTAAAGGCCTAAGTACGCAAACGTTTAAATCTATATTAATCTGGATAATGTAAAGCAAGCCGGAGTGAAAATAAACAGGGACCAAAAGCAGAGGTCAAGTTGCCCATTCATGTCTATCCACTCCTTTACATTTACCGGGTGTGCAGAGATAAAAACTTACCCTGAGAGTGAAATCAAACAAACCTGCTGATAAGTGCTCTGTCGATCCTGGCCATTTCTTTCTATTCCTGGGAAAGCCTCCGCCTCGGAGCCGGGGCTTGCTGCTGGTGGCCGCGGCCGGGGGATCTCTAATGTGCCCAAGATTGCATTTGCTGTTGGGATTCGATTAGACGATACATTTTTGCCGTTCGCAGAAGGCCTTAAGTGAATTGGGGCACGCAATTAGACCGAGCCGAGGCTCTCGTGGTGGTGTTGCAACTGTAGCTGCTGCTGCTGCTTTGCTTGATTTCATTATTTATTTTTTTTTTTACACTTTGAAATCAAAAGACATTGCTGCCGGAGCCCAAAAGCTTGTCCCTCTCTCCGAGCAGAGCTCGGAGGGGATTCCCCCCTCTCCCCTCTCCTTCGAGAGGTGCAGCGAGAGCCTAAGCCCGGCGAGCTGGAGCTGTCAGTACTTTTAGCTGGATGCTGCGAGGCGTGTGCGTGTGTTTGGAGTGTGCTTGGCGGGGAGGAGGAGTGAGGGGAGGAAGGAGAAGGAAGGCAAATTAGAAGGAGAAAGTGCCGATGGCTGGGGAAATGCTGCTCCTGCTGACCGTGTTCTTTCCCCCCCTGCTGCCCTGTCTGCTGCCGGCCGCTGCCCCCCAGACCATTTTAAACTCCATGCACAAGTACCAGCCCCGCTTCCACATCGTCCGGGCCAACGATATCCTCAAGCTTCCTTACAGCACGTTCAGGACCTACGTTTTCCCGGAGACCGAATTCATCGCAGTGACCGCATACCAGAATGATAAGGTAAGGAGATTAAGAGAGGATTTGTTTTACGTGTTTTGGCTTTTAAGAGAACTTTTACTCTGCATTGTTCCCTTAAAACTCACGAAGCCCATCCCGCTCTTCTCTCTCTCTCCCCCTCATCTTTTCCCCCAAAACCTCCTTGATCTAACTTCGGGAAAGTGCTGGGGGAGGGTGTCGAGCACTCTCCTAATACCGACCTCGGGGAAGGCAATTAAAAGGAAGGAGGGCTGGGGGTGAGGGAGAGAATGTTTAGGGGTTTTGTACCATTTTTTTTTCCTCAGCATATCTCCCCAGTATGAAGAAAGGGACGGGGTGGGGTTTGCTGCTCTTAGCGTGGATTTAATCTAAGATGCATCAGAGGAAAAAAAAAAAAAATAATGAAAAAGACTCGGCTCCGTGTGTCGAAAGACAGAGTGGGGAGAGCAGCGGGGCCGAGATTTTGTAATTCTTCCTGGCCTTTGTGCTGTTTTAGCTCCTTTAACAGCAATTGGCAATAAGGCTGGAGCGCACGTCTGGTTCCTATTATTATTATATTATGATTTTTTTTTTTTGCATCCTGCAGTGTTTTATTATTTTTTGTGGTGCAGAAATATGCTCTGGTCAGAGAGGGGTATCTCGCTTGAATTTAGCTGGAAGGGTTGAAAAAGCCCGTGTGAGAAAGTTTTGCAGCGCTGCAAACGCTGCCTTTCCATTGCTGCTGGTTTATTGTCGCTTGCGATGAAGGTGGTATATTTGGGAGAGTGGCAAACGGCGAATTTACGATAATTAAGTCAAGTGGAAAGAAGCGAAGGAGCCAAAAAAGGGGCTTTGATTTTTTTCTTGTCTGTGAATTACAACTTTGCGTTCTCGTGCGTTGAGCGCAGAGGCTCGGGATGCGCAGCGCCCGCTCGCTGCAGCTCCCCTGTGCCCCTCTCTGCCCCTCACATCCTTCACCGTCAAAAATTCAGGGCTCAAAAGGACGGCTCTGTACTCTTCTGCCCTCGGTTTCCAGAAAGCCGCTTCCCCCTCGGGGCTCGGGCTGTTTTCCTCTCCCTCTGCAGCCGGGCACTTGCAAGGAAACTGAAAGAAAATGAGTGTACAGAGAGTAGACTTTGCTTTGGGACTTATCAGCAGGGCTGGCCGGCCCGGTCTATCAGCTGGGGGCGGCTGGGTTGAAGGACAGAAATGAGCATATTTGTGTGATTGCCATGAAATCGGCTGAAAGCGGCGTGCGGCAGCGGCGGGGAGCGCTCGGCTCGGCGCGGGGGGAGCAGAAGGCACGGCCGGGAGCACCTGGATTAAAGGTCCCGCTGGTTTTAGCAGTGGGGTTTTCCTGCTCTCTCCTGATCCCGTGTGTGCGGCGGGGGGGTGACTCGGGGCCGGGACCGGTCCTGCCCGCACTCGGGCACAGGAGGGGTTTTCCTTTTTGGAGTCATCCTGTGCTCCTAAACTGGGGGTTGCTGTGCTTCCAGCCCGCTCCGAGCCCGGGAATGGAGCGGCGGGGAGGCGGCATTCCCGTTCCCACTGCTCCCATCCTGTTCCAGGGGGCTGGCAATTCGGCTCCGTGCATCGTACGCGCGGGCACCGGGCACTTGCGGGATGCTCCGCACCCCCCATCCCTCCCAACAGCCATTCCCTGCCATCACCTGAACCCCGAGGAAACCAAAACCCAAAAACTTCCACACACATCCCCCCCAAAAAACATGAACCGGCTCCTGGCACCCCTGGCGCCCCAACACACACGGAGCATAATGCGATTATATAAAGTATTTTATTATAGCAAGGAGGTGGGTATGATTCCTTTGCGGTTTAATTATGGTATTTAAAGAGTTTTAAGCACAGGCATAACTTGCATGGATCTCATTGCACGGCTCAATTAATTCCGATGTGGTGGCAGCAACACGGGGCTCTTTCATTGCCACCACGGTCCAGGTCACCGGCCAGCCCGGCGGGGGACTGGGGGAGAGCTGCTTCCAAACAGCTCGGGAAAACACATGGATTCACCAAAAACCAGGGACCTTTGCCCCCTGCCCTGTCCTACTCCTGCCAGGATCCTGCCAGCACTGGGGAACTGGGAAAAGTGGGGTTTGCTGTTGTTTTTTAGTACAAAAATCTCCTTATTCTGCCCCAACCCCCTGGCTATTTTTATTTTTTTTCTTTCTCTCTCCTATAGATCACGCAATTAAAAATAGACAACAACCCTTTTGCCAAAGGTTTTCGGGACACCGGGAATGGAAGGAGGGAAAAGAGGTGAGTCTGGCTCGATTCTGTGCAGGCACCTCGTTTGGTTTCCACGTGTTAAGCTCCCAACATGAGCAGAGGTCAAAATCACCTTGCCTCGCCTCCAAACCACACTTCCCCCCGCCAAAATCCATAAGGATCTTGGCATTAATAACGTCAAAGGGATTGCATGGGAATTCTTTCCTGCTCTCCACGTTCAGTTTTCACATCGCAGGGGATGAAAGGCCAAAGGGAGTGAGGTACATTTAGCAAATATTACCGGAGAAAAACTTCACCTTAAAAATTCGAGAGGGAATATTGCAGTGTAGCTTGGACCTGGGACTGGGGAAGAGCAACAAGTGAGGACTGAGCACTGCTTGAATCTCCTCTGGCATTTTTCTGGGGACTGCGTGGAAAAGAGTGAAATGTGGAGGAGAACCATATAAATATGTTTGGACAGAGGTATCTCATGAATATAGAAGTAATTAATGAGAGAAGATTCTTTATTTTTTTTCCAAAAGCAGCAGGACACGGTTTGTGCTCCAGGTAGGCAGGCAGAACTCATCATAATGAGACTCAAGAGTTTTATTTTTAATATAAGAAGAAAATATAAGGAGAAAAAAGGGACAGTTTTTTTCCTTTGACGGGGGATATGTCTGTTTTGGTGTGTTACAGGAAACAGGATATTTTAGCCATTTACACAAGGGGTTAGATAATGAATAAATCGATCTGTTCCTCTTTTTTCAAACAAACAACAAAATAAAAAGGTGGGGGGAACGTGGTGTAAACCAAGGGGCCTCTCTCCCTGCCCAGCACACACACACAAACATGCACACGCCAGCTCCTCTTGTCCATCAGTGTGAAAATAAAGCCAGCGCTGCAGCCACAGGACGGAAATGATTTCTAATTTCTCTAAATATAAATAGATTTTTTACTCCGGGTTAATTGTTGGTGAAAAGATTACATAAAGTGCCTAACAAAATAACCACTTCCTAGCAATCTTAGCAACCATTAAGATGGCTCATATCTCTGGAACATCCTTGCCTTTTCAAAGCTAATCTCCAGGGAATGCTTCCCTCTCCCCTCCGCCCCTTGTCTTTAATATCAGCCCTCGCTGAGGAGCTGCTCTGGCTTCCAAGAAATCTCCTCTCATTAGCAGCCAAGCGCTGCCTGCCAGAAACGCGCTCTTCTCCTCGAGGGAACCGTGGCTCTTAATTCCCCCGTGCTACTCGTGCCCGAATAGGAGCTCCAGGAGGGGCTGGGGAGGAGGAGGAGGGGTCCCGGGGGCAGCGGGGGCCGCTCGCCCAGCGGGTTCTGTGCCCGCAGGAAGCAGCTGACCCTGCAGTCCATGCGGGTGTACGACGAGAGGCAGAAGAAGGAGAATCCCACCTCGGACGAGTCGTCCAATGAGCAGACGGCCTTCAAGTGCTTTGCCCAGTCCTCCTGTCCTGCCGTGCCTGCCGTGGGCACCTCCAGCCTCAAAGGTGAGAGCTGTGGCCCCTGGTCTCCTCTGGGAGAGCCTGGGTGCCCGCTCTGTGTGGTGGCAAATCCTGCCCCTTCCACTGGGGCACTGGCCCGCTTTCCTTCCCTCCCTCTTGCCTTCCTTCCCACCTCTTTCCTTCTTTGCTCCTGTTTTGTCTCTTCACTCTCTTCTCTCTGTTCTTTCTCTCTTTAGTTTTTCCTCCCTCTCTTTCCTTCTTTCCCTCACTACTCTTCTTGTTTTCTTTCTTTTTGTCTTTCCTCCCTTCTCCCCCCTCACTCTCCTCTCTCTGCCTTCCTCACTCTTCCTCTCCTTCTCCCTCTCCCCCCCGGCCTCCTTCTCCCCTTGCTGCACATTCATCCCTCCCCTCCCTGGTTCAGCAAGGAGCCAGCTCCGAGCCAAGGGAGCAAAGACAGACCACGGGGCAAAAGTTCAAAACTGGAGTCACTCCATTAATATTCCTCACTGAATCTGTTACTGGAGGAAGGATCTTTCCCCTGGATACAGTCCCGAACTTTGTTATAGAAAAGTCACCCCGGGTTTCTCCGTGCGGGGTTGGGAGCTGTCTGCAGCTCTCTCGTATGTATTAATCCATCCCGGGCTGGGGGGGCAGGGGGAGGAGGAAACAACCTCTTTTTTGTAGTTGTTTTACTCGTTTTTTTAAAGGCCTGCCGAGCTGAGGGGAGGGGAGCTGGGAGGGGACCCGAAAAGCAAACCAGAGCTTCACACCTGGGGCGCTGAAATTAGGAGATGAAGTGCAGAGGAATCCAGCGAAGCCGTGCATGTGTTTGGGGAGAAGAGGGGCCCAGGGGGCGATGAAGACGGCTGCAGGGTGTCTCTGTGTGCGTTTGCAAAGTTTGCCCATTGAAAGGGATGAAAACTTTGGAAAACTTCCTAGGAGACACATCCCCAAGGCCCTTCAGCCCTGCCCCGAGGTTGTTACTGTCCCGTTCCTCCTCTACCCCCGCTGCAGCCGGGGTGGGACGGGGGGTCCCTGGGGGCTCCCGCAGCCCCGGGGAGCGGAGCCGCTGGCCCCGGGCCCGCCCGGCTGGGGGGTCGCTGCTCCCGCTGCCCCTTTGTTTCACAGCCAATTTTGCTGCCTTGTGTAAAGCTCGGGCTGGCTCGGACGGGGCGAGCGGTGGGAGCCGGGGGCTGTATTTATTTATATAATAATAAAAAAGGGGAAGTAT